GGCCGCTTGTTCACCACGCTGCTGGGGCCAGTGCCAAGCTGGACGTGTAAGTGTTTGTGACAGTGGTGGTTGTGGTGGTGGTGGTGGTGGTTAGAAGAGTGGCCCTTGTGTTTCTCCTTGTGCTCCCGGTTCTTGCCGCTGCTCTCATCTGAGGAGCCGTGCCTGTCTGCAGCGGTCGGCACCTTGATCCGCATTTTGATCTCCTCCTGCTTGGAAGGGAGTGGCCTCTCCCCACCTCCACCTGCCACCGGGATCCTCAGCTTCAGAGCCGAGGCTTTGTCACTCTTTTCAGGGCCGGGAGGGCGCTCAGGGTTCTCCGAGCCACCGATGGGGATTTTCAGGATGATTGGAGAGGGGTTGCTGTCCTGCTGGACTTCCCTCTCCCGCTGCTGCTGGACCAGGAGATTCTGCGCGGCGTAGGCGTACTGAGACCGCACGTTGGCCTCCATGTTCTCCAGCTGCCGCTTCTGTGCCGCCAGCTCCTCGGCATGCTTGGCCCGGTACTCCTTGAGCGACACTTTGGCCGATGGGGCGTTCTTGCCGCTCTGCTTCTGATAACCAGCGCCATCTTGCTGTAAAGGATGCTCAGCAGCCGATGAGCTTTCGTTAGTCCTGTGACTCTGGCCAGCCTCCAGCTTGGGTGGAGGATGCTGGGACAGCCAGTGCTCAGGCTGGGACATATCCGCACCGCTCTGGTCGCTGGGCGAGTCCGCCGTGGCCGGCAGAGGAGGCCCCGCTCCGGCAGTCGAGGACGTTGACATGCTCATTAACCCAGCAATGTTCATGTCCGAACTATTGTTCCTGGAAATCATGTTGAGGATCGTCTGCTCTGACAGGCTCTCATCTTCACCGTGGTCATCAGCCTTTGACTTCTTGGCTGCTTGAGAGGCCTGGAATAAAAGCAGTGACCGGTCATTTACTTTGGGCTGTCACTCGGGCTGGTTTGATGCAAGCAGCTCACCCTGTACAGTGCAAGCTCTCATTTAAAGACAGATCCACTTTGCCCCCATCTCTCCTTGTGGGAAAAGACCCAACCACTGCAAGTGGGGTTGCAAGAGCAGTTGAAAAACCAAGGTCTCTACAGAGTTAACTCAGAACAGATGAGCTCAAGCCCTAAAGCAACATTTTGCAGACGCACAGCGTTCAGATTTCCCCCCACACATGCCCTTCAGACACTGTCTCGCATTGTAATACCGGAGATGCCACACAGCCTCGTGCGCACAGAAGAAATCAGAGACCGTGTTCTCCTGCAAGCACCCGCGGTCCAAAGCAGATTCTTACCCGCCAGTTCCGGATGCGTTTAAGCCGGTTGGGAGTTTTCTCAAGGATCTGCAGGAATTCATGAGTCAGTTCTGCAGAGGAAACACAAACCCAGGCAAGAGGGTCAGAGGCGGGCAGAGCAGCACTAATCCATCAGGGCAACCCCCTACTTACTGATGAGTGGAGCTACTGATGAGATGGAGCTACTCCAGGAGGGGAAAATACTGAGAACTAGTATCACTGACCACATTTAAACTCATCTCACTGCGCGCCTTTTGCCATCTCTGTTGTACCATAGAAGCTGCTGCTGCACTGGAAACCTTGGCAAGACCTGAAGTCCTGGAGTCCATGAACTGGCCGGTGGCCGTGTTTGAACGGCAGACCCAGGAACAGAGATGCCAAAATAATGTAAGAGCCTTTGGGGGGAAACCTCGCTCCAAAACTTACCATCTAAGAGCTCCAGAGTTACAGTGCCATCAACGTATTCCCACCAGTGCTTCCCGTCCGTGGAGACTGGGATCTCCCAGTTGGACCACTTACAAGCCAGGTGGATACAGACGCAGGCCACAACGGGAGGGGTGTACTGCAGGCTGAAGGTGGTCAGGTGCAGGCTGACGTCACCAGCAGGGAGAGAGAAACAGAAAGCCATGAACTCCCAAGCCTGAACTTCAGCACTCACAATCGCCCACTGAACAGACGCTGCGCAAGAGGTGGACGTGGTGGGGAAGTCCCTGCCATTCCTCCCCCAGTACAACCCTACTGTTACGGGCGTCTCTATCCCGCTCCACCAATTTGCTTGTTCCTTCCCTGTTCTGCTGCAGATAATCTGGGTCCAGGCAACTCTTGTCAGCTCAAGGTTCTGCGACTCGTGCAGGAGCAGCGAGGCATGCTGCCGCCCCGCTCGAGCCCTCCTCCGAGGGAGAAAGCGAGCGGCTGGGTCCCCTGCCAGTCCCCACCTCTGCTGTGGGCTCTGCTCAATCTGAGAAGAAACTCAGACGCTTCCAAGTGCGAGTCCTGGGATGGCGTTCAAGGAGCAAACCGGCCCTCTTCGGCTTTTAGGAAGGGTCTGGTCTTTCCCAAATGATTTTTAGGAAAAGCACTGAAGCTTCGGCTGTGAATAGCACCATATGCTGGAATGACTCAGGAGCGCCTAAAAGGGAGCCTGGCCGCCTATCGAGCATTTTCATTAGTAAATTAATTTGCCACGTGACAGCTCGGACGTCAGTGCTGGGAGGTCTAGGTAGCACTGAGAACAGGACTAAGAAAGCATCCTACTCTCTACCTGCAGGAACACCAGGTCCGCTAAGCTTTAGAAACCATGACAGCAAGCTGAGTGCAGGATTTACCCACTGTCACACTCGCGAATCGGCCCTCTCAAGGAGCGCTTGATGGAAATGGTGCCACCGAGCATCTACGTGCAGCTGCAGGATGGCATTATCTGCATTTCTTCGCCATCCTCGGGTTACTTAAATATTTTTCCATCAATGCAATGCAGAGAGACAGAGATAGGCACCTACAGCCAAAAAGTCTGAAACCATTTCACGGATACTGTATTTATCCATACATCCAAGAAGTCAAACCCAGGAAATTCAGAGCCTTTATCCAGTCTGCCAAGGTAAGAAGTGAAGTGAAGGTGCACAAAGAGCTTTAACCCTGCCCCATAATGATGCCAGAAGGAAATAAAAGTTAAACATCCGTAGCTACGCCTGACTAAATCCAGTTCATCGCTTAAGCACCTTAATCAGGTGTTTCATGGCATCACTTTAAGGCAAAATTGAGGCTGCCTGGCTGCATTTCTTATTTTCTGCCTGGATTTCTTTCAAGTATAACCTTAACTCGTAATTCCTTGGTTTTGCAATTATTGCTGCAGGGATAAAACACGCTTCAACCACGCATTTACCCACACGTTCCTAACACCACCTTCCCTTTACACTAGTTTATGCAGGAAACCCACACAGTGCCCTTTGGAGCTACAGAGCACCTTCAACAAACAATTCTCCCAGCGTGCTGTGGAGGTGAGCAGGTAACACCTCTCACGGGCAGAGAGGAGAGAAATGACTCGCCCAAGGCCACGCACATTCACGGCTCGGCCAGGGCTTGAAAGCGTCCTCCAACTCTGCAGCTTCGACCTGTGCTAGCGCCTAAACCATCTTTCTCTCCCATCCTTTCACTTCCGCGAGCTTTTTACAAAACCACAGGATTTTCCGTGTCCACGACTTGGTCTGTTCCAAACGTTAACTCCGTGATTCGCCTGAAGCTGGTAATTCCGGAAATTACATTTTTAAAAAATGTCGGAAGTCCCAACACAAGGGCTGCTATCAGCCTTGCAGCAAAAACCTAGTGACGCTACCCAGACCTGTCAAGGTGAAAAAAACTAGGGGCTTTTTTTGTTTCCAAGACTCTGCTTACGGGCCTGCCTGTCCAGTCACGCAGGCCAGACAAGGCTACTGTTTTCTCTTGTAACGCCTCATACCTGCATCCAGCTACCCTTCTTCTTCCTTCGTACTCTAGATCAGCCCTCTTTGGGGCACAGACCCTATTTGTTGACAATTTGCACAGCACCTAGTTCAGTGAAAGCTCTCTGACGCCTAGGTAGGTACTAAGCAAGCAAAAAAAGGTATATATTCATTTCAAGTCTACCTTTTTGTTTTGGTTTGGGTTTTTTTTTTTTTTTTTTTTGAACTTCCACAACTAACTCCCCATAAAAGAAAGCAGTGAGGTTCCTGAGCATCCCATCTGCCTCGCTTATATGGCTGATTTTGCAGCTGGTTTTGACCGGCAGCTAGCAGGAGAAGGGGTTCCTGCTCTTTCTGAACCAAACCGAGCAATCCCCAGTCGCTCGCAGGCTGACCAACGCCCCAGGGGTCACCAGTAGCACATCTCCTCCAGATAAGACCCTCTGTCAAATATGAATCAATTGTAAAATAATAACCTGTTGGTAGCCATGAAATAGGAAGTTTGGGCCAAGTCCTTGCTGGCTGAAAGAGAAAAGGAAAAAGCAGGGCATTAGTCTGCATATCCTGACAAACATTATTCCATTGTAGTGCAAGAACCATGGGCCTCTCGCCACCACACACGAAACAAGAGAGCCAGCCCAGTTCGACTAACTCTACGTCACAGCTAGAAGGATTTTAGAAATCACTAAAATCCTAATTTAGAAATTACTAAGCACATAGAGCTTCCAGCAGAGCCACAACATCGCGTCAGTCATTTGCAACTGCCTCTATTTTGACATTCGTTATGGTTATTAAGGAGACTGACTGCAGGCAAGTTCTCGGGCAATCAATCCCAGCTAAACACTACAATGTATTGTCACAGCTCTTCTCTATCAGGCTGAGGTTACACGGAGAAGCCACAAGCACCCGACGCCCGATATCGCTTACCTCGCACTAACTGTGTGCACTTCACCACGTGGGTATGGGGGTGGTCAATAGTGATCTCAAAACCTGGAAGAACACAGACATGAGGCCATCAGAAAACCAGCAGCACACCCCCAGGGATCTACGAACCTCACGTTTCCTGCTCCTGGGGGACAAGGCCTTCTCCCCTTCCCTCCTACAGCCCCTGCTCTCTGCTCGGAGGCAAGCAGGAATAGAGGAGCCCGTTTTCCTGTATCCAGAAGACTCAAGTTCTCCAGTCATAAAACCCGAAGGTCACTGCTGCTGCCAGACCTCCAAGCAGCTAAATGACTTCTGCGCTTGAAAGACCTCACTGAAAACAAAACAACTATTAAGGATTTTAAAAATAGCAGGACAAAGCCTCTTACAGCAGCTGGGAGGAAGGAGAAGACAATGGCATCTGCTCAAAGGAATTTCTGTCACCCAAAAAGCTAAGAGGAAGCAGACGTTTTCCCTTTGAAGGAGCCTACAGCACTGAAGACAACTGAACTTAATCCTCGCTTCAGTTTCCTATTCAGTTTGGGCATTATGTTTTAAAGAAAAAAAAAAAATTCAAATCGGTCCATGTGTGCAACAGATTTGGTTCTTCCCATGCAGAACATTCTAGAAGAACTGGGACGTTAAAAAAAGGCAACTGGCGAACCGAGTCGTGGCAGAACTGGGGTCACAGTTTAGCCACTGGCTCGCCCGGCCAGCGCGTGCGACCCATCGAGTCCCTGCCCCTCCTGTCCCCTCCTGAGCGAGGGACCAGCGGCATTCACTCTGAACCAAGTCAGGAATAACAAAGCTTACTGAGTATTTTGGAGTGGAACGCTATCTACAAACTGCCTCTGGAACGGAACATACGTTAGTAAAAACAAGTTCTAACAGTACATTTTAGAAAGGAACAGGATACTGGATCCAACGGCCGCAGCCCTAAACGTAGGCTCCAGCTTCTACTTTCAAAAAAAAATGCAAAAAACTGTTGCTTTTTTTTTCCCCCCTTCACGTTCAGCTATCTGGTCAAAATATTAACTTTCAGCCCAGGTTTTGTTAGACATCTCTCAGTGCAAACTGCTTCCTGGCCACAGGACTAGAGCATTATCGAGTTCAACAGCACAACGGAGGACAGCGACCGGCGTCCAAGCGGTACAGAACCTGTTGGGGGGCGGGGGGGGGAAGAGACGAGCCACACTTCCACGCTTTAATTTCTCTGAGCATTGAACCTGACACAAGTTACACCTGAAAAAACTGATGTTAAAAGGAAAACAGAAGGAGTGGGTGTGAAAAATAGAGTTTGTTGCCTGGACTCTTGCTCTCCCACTGGCCAGCTGTACATCTGCCCTCCAGCTGTGGAGAAGACTGTGCGGTTAGGCTCTCCGCTCTGCGGAACACTCCTGGGTCTGGGATTCGTGTGGCAGCCCGTCCGCTTTGAAAAACTTACCCAGGGTCTGCAGTATTATGCTCTCTAGAATGACCAGGTCTTGGGCTTGTTGCAGGTAAGCCTGGGGTTGAGAGGACAGGCAAGTTACTCACGATGAGGCACTCCGTATAAAGCCTGCACATTTCTAACACCCTTTTCTCAGGGAGGCAAAAATAGCAAAGGGGAATCTTTCTGCCGATCTGCACTGGGGGAACTGGCACAGATTCCCTGCCAGAAAAGAGAAAGCAGAGCGCTGGGGTGGACCCGCTCCCCTGCTAGTGCTTCTGCTAGGGGATGGCTGCTTCGGGATCCACAGTGGCCCTCTCAGTCCTGGTCCCTCGCACTGCACGGGACGGCTATACGAGCAGTACAGGAGAGGAATTAGCTGCTTTTCTTTTTTCCTTAAGCTTTCCTGGATAAAGCTGCCCCTTTTCAGCAGGGTTGGCTGCTCAGTTCCAGGTAAGACGGGCTGTCTCGAGAGATGGGGAATCGGCAACGTTTGTAATAAACCCACCATTAAACACGTGGGGACAGAACAGAACCAAACCGCGCACACCACCTTCTGCTCCGCCACAGACACTACTCAATCGCAGCAGTCAACATCCATGCCCTCCTCAGAAGCTTTTCACGCAGACACTGTTACACAGCACGTGAGTCACAACTGCAGCAGCACAGCAGAGGAGAACAGAAGAGAGGTTGCCACAGAGCAGGAAAGAAAAGCCTTCTGCTGTACAGAAGCCAAAAAGCTCTCAGCAGTGTAAGAGCAGTCGAATTGGAAAGCTGTCACTGACCATCCTAGGACACAGCCACTCGCTTAGAGAGCGGGTACTCCTGAACCCGATTTAACGAGATGCCGTAGCCACGCGATTCAGGATGCAGCACGCTTCCGCCATTCCCGTTCCTCGTGCCTCCGCTCCTCACATCAGAGCCCAGTTCTCCGATCTCGACACTTACCTCGCTCTTGGTGTCTAGAGGAGTTTCCTGGGGATGCAGACAGGCATGTGCTACCTTGATTACGTGCTCCAGCTTACGAGGCTGCTCCTCCACCTTGGCTGCCAAGAACAGAGCTGCTGGTACCACCGACTTCAGAGAAAAAAAATATTATTTTTTTTAAAGTTAGTAAGTTCAAGATTAAAGCAAATAAATTAGGCTAATTCCCACGTCTAAAACAAATATTCCTTTAGGAAACAAAGCCCGCGCAAGTCCAAACACCACCAGGAAGGAAGAGGGTCTCTAGTGACTACCGGCAGCTACGAGCCACCGCTCCCTTTTCCAAGCCCCCTCCCCAGGGTCGGTCCCACCACGTCACCCCCCGAGCCGGCTGCCAGGCAGCAGCAGGAGCAGAGCTGGGGGGTTCCCGGCGCCCCCCACCCCGCCAGACCCCAGCACACTTACGTTCCTGTGGAACTGGGTGAAGGACTGCACCATATAGAAGCGGTGCATGTACACGATGGCCGTGTTGATGGTGAGCTGGGAGCTGATGGGGTGGTTAAGAAAACACACAGCCCCGACGACGGCCGCTGCGCAGCGCCCTCAACTCCCCAGCATCCCACCGGCACCGGGCCGGGCCTCGCTCTCCCTGCTGCCGAGATGCGCCTGACTCCCCCGGCTCCCGGCCTCACTCTCTCCGCTCCCAGGCCCGGCTCTCCCCGCACCCCGGCATAGTTCTCCCTGCTCCCGAAACGGGCCTGGCTCTCCCCGCTCCCGGGCTGGGCCTGGCCTTCCCCGCACCCCGGCACAGC